CCGCCGCCGGAGCCGGGGCTGTACCCAACTCCGTATCCTACCCACGGGCTCCTCCGAGGCTCCCCTTCCCGGCCGGTCCTCTTCCTCTCATCCGATCCCCGGGAGAGAGAGAGAGAGAGACTCACCGCTGAGCAGCCCCGTCCCTGGCGCGCCCTCGCCCGGGGCCACCTTGGCCAGGAGCAAGAAGAGCAAGAGCAGCGCCCGGGCAGCCGCCGCGGGGACGCCTCCCGGCCTCTCCATGGCTGCTCGCCGAACACCAGCACGAACCATCTAGATTGGCCCTGCCGGGTTTTTAATGAACGGTCCCTTTAAAAAAGAGACCGCGTGACCGTTCGGTTCTGCTGCAAAGGGCCCCGAAGGGCCACCAACCGAAGGCTCCGTAGAGTCTGGAAAAGTTCCTTTTTTGGGAGCGCGCCTGGCAGACTCCTCGGGGCAGCCGCCGCCACCGCCGGTTCCGCCGAAGGGCTGCAGCGCCTTCTAGCGGTGATGGGGGAGTGCTACCAGGACCTCCTCCTCCTCCTCCTCCTCGCATCCCCCCCCCGGGCGCCGCTCTCCGCTGCAGATCGGGAAGGCGCGCCCGGGTTTGGACAGGGCGCTGGAAGGAGGATGCTGGCGCAAATTCAGAGGAGGGTCGCGCCCGGGTTTGGACAGGGCGCTGGAAGAAGGATGCTGGCGCAAATTCAGAGGAGGGCCACAAGGATGATCGAGGGGGCTGGAAACCAAACTTTGCGAGGAAAGACGGAAAGGAACTGGGGAATGCACTTTTCAAAGACTTGGAAGGCTGTCCTACAGAGGAGGGGAAGGATCTGTTCTTGATCATCCCAGAGTGCAGGACCCGCAACAAGGGGCTCCAGCTGGAGGAAGCCAGATTTAGGCTGAAAACCAGGGGGAAAAACACACGTCTTAACTGTTAGAGCAGTATGACAATGGAAACAAGGACCTCAAGTGGTGGGTGCGCTCTCCAACATTGGAGGCCTTCAAGGGAAATGGAGGCAACCACCTGGCAGATACCCTTTGCTTTGTATTCCTGCATGGAGCAGTGGGTTGGACTCCATGGCCTTATTAGGCCCCTTCCAGCTTCATGATTCTACGATTGTCCTCTCCCCAGAGAAAGGGGTTCAAAAGTGGGCGTTTCACTGGGAATCGTGGCCCAACAGAACCCAAAGGCCCAAGGAGCTTGGAAAAAAAACTGTGAAAACCTGTTCGGCAAGGCATCCTGTGTGGGGAAGGGGGGGGGAAGCACAGCTCAGAGAAGTTAATTTGGGGACTACAACTCCCAGAATCCCCGTTAGGGGACAGATCGGGAGCCGTGTAGTCTACGAAGCAACCTCCCCAGCTTTGAGAAGCGTCTGCCAGACCAGAGCCAAAGATGGTGGCCTTCTTCGCCCATCACTGACAAAAGCGTTGGATTACAATTTGGTTTACCTTCTTTGACAGGAGAAAAAGCGGCACAGCCACAAAAAGCCATAATTTGCCCCTTTCTGCAAGTTCCAGGAAAGAAGCCAAGCTGGAGCCAAGTTCAGGTGAGCAGCCTGATGCCACAAAAAGGAGAGAAAAAAACTGGATCCCACGGGCATCGCCCATCGCTGTGAAATCACGCCGAGCCCTCCCTTCTTTCTGCACTGTTGGATACAGCTCTAGAGGAAGGACCGGGCCAAGCAGCATCCTTCCCAGCAGCTCCCAGTGGCCCAGTGCTGACCTTGCATTTATTTCTCCTGCATGTTTCCTGCGGGTTGGGAAGCGGGAGTGCACTCGCTTCCTCTCTTCCCAGCCAAGTTTCCGCTCATCCAGGCTCCGAAACGCTCACTAGATGCCAGGGGGAGGACAAAACAAGGCTCTGGAGTCAAGCTGCTAATTGCATTAAGGCAGCTGAGCTGTAAAAGAAAGCCCTACGTGGTGGAGCCCACGTGATGAACGAAGGGAGGCGGGTTTACTATGCACAGGCCTCAGCTATTGCCACTTAAGACCCAACCACTGCTGTTTGTAAGAACCCCTGGAACGGCCAGAGCTTGTAGGTTGGATGTTCAAGCAGCAAAGCCACGCCAGTGCAGAGAACAGAGGTTTGGGTCATTGCAACTTCTCGAAGAGGAGGGGGCAAGTTTGGTGACTCTGGGGTCCAGTTTTCTGCCCCCTGGATGGTCCAGTGGGGCAGAGACCTAAAAAAATGCAATAAAAGAGCAAAAAATGACACCAGCAGCGGCTGAAATCACTTCCAGTTTTGAAAACAAAATGTTATTTTGGAGTGCTAACATGGTGCAGAGGAACTCCATAGCCTATTTAAAAAGAGGAATGAAAGTCTTGGAAGTTTCTGAGAACTGCTGTTCACGTATTTTGATGGGGGGGGGGAAAGAGGTGGTGGGAAAGGGCAACAAGCCACAGAAACAGTTTTGGGAGCCTAATGTGGCCGTACAGTCCGCAGTTTGGTCATCTTGCCCCATTTACTTTTCAAGAAAAATGTTCCCATTACTGAATGAGCATGAAGGCCAAAGCTGGGAAACAAAACACCTGATCTCTTGTGATTGGTAACCAATGCAAGGAGACCGTCAGCAACAGGAGCAAACAAATGGTCTTATTTAAAAAGGTACCCCGGTTGAATCCGAGTCAAGAGCTCTTAAAGTTTTGTCTCCTGGGACCAAAGGTGGATTTGCTGTCAGTGATACTGCAGAGGCAAACATGATGAATATCAGCTCTTCTGAACATCTCCCTATTCACTTAGGAAGAGTTTCTTGGAAGGCTTTATCTTAATGGCTCCAAAGAACTAACATTAAAATGCTATCACACACTCTCTGGAAGAGGCATCAGCAATTTCCCAGGCGGGATCTTGAATAACGAACAGGGGAAGGGAGGTTTCTCGCTCTCTCTCTCACACACAGACTGACAGACACACACACACACACACTCTCTCTCTCATGGCTAGCTCTTACTAAACCACATGCAAACCCAATTAAACATTACGCTCCAGCAGCTGACAACCAGAAACATAAATTTAAAATCTGCTGATCTTGACGGGGGTGGGGGGAGGCAGTGAGAACTGCAGGGCTGACCATATATATATGTCACCCATCGTAATATATGTATTACAAAGGGTGACAAAGCTAATTTAAACATCTCACATTAATAGAGACCCTCTAATACATCTTGACAAGTGAGATACTTTGATTGTATGGGAAGAGGGGGATCATGCAACTCTTCTGTTAAACCTATTACTACACGTAGGCAAAAGAATGCACTCCCCAGAGAAATCTCTGTACAGAAACTGGGAAGAATAACAGATCTTTAGCAAGAACTATATGCTGGGGTGGCTCACTGACCAAGATGGGGAAGTGCCTCATCTCAAACGTTCAGCACCCCCCCCAGAGTCCAATATCACAACCCATCTCTGACCATATATACTGTATCTGCATTGTGCAAAACGCTCCATCTGTAACAGGCAGAAGACCTCTAATAGCCAGACTTATCTTCATGTGTGTGTGCATGCCTTTCTTAAGAATTTGGTCTCACCTTTAAGAGTATGAAATATAAGTATAGCCAGTCTTTTAAAGAACCATAGAAGCAGGGGTGGAAACCTTCAGGCAGTCTGCAGTGTCATTTCCTGGACACGGAGAACAAGGGAGTAGATTCAGCTTTTGCAAATTCTTCTTAGCACATTCATGCCAAAAGGCCAGAGAAGGGTTGCAATCCTGCAGCAGAAAGCTTAGGCTGCAATGTATTTACACTTTCTTGTGCCGTCATAAAGTGTGAGCTGGTTAATGTGTAGTCCAGTCCTATCCTATTAATTGAGAAGTCTTAATGAGTTAAATGGAGCTTGTCCTTGCATGCCGGTGCACAAATTGCCTCCCCAGAAATGCAATTACTTGAGAGCCAAAGTATAACAAATCCCACTTTCTCTTAGAAATGGGAGTATTCCGACTGATTTGGTGGACATACATTTTCATGTTTCCGCGGAGAGCTGGTTTCGTTATCCACAGATGGGCACTACCTTAATACTTCCTGTGGATTTGTCTTCATTATCCCCAAAACAGCTACCCTTGTTTTTACTGGTGGGAAGGAAAGACAACTTCCACACATACAAAAATCATCCTGCTACAGAGACGAGCGTTTTGACATCCATAACGCAGGCTTTTGTTTCAAAACCGGTTTATTGCATTTAACACTTCTTACAATGCCTTTTATGGTACCCATGGCAGACCAAGAAATTTAACAGCCAAACTGAAAAGTCCACTAGGCTTTTTACCAGCATGCAGCGTCTTGCTCTCGAAGGAGAAAGTGAGACAGGGAAAGCCGCAGGGGGTCTGCGTCTGAAGATCACAGAGTGGAAACCAATGAAGGACAGGGTAAGAGTTTCTCCTGTTGTTTTGCACTGATCAAAATGCTCAATTGAGTGCCTTCACACTTTCTTTATCCTCAAAGTCCGATTCTGGTATCTGTATCTTGCTGAAACCAAATGGGAGAGGACATTATAAAGGTACCATTCAGGGCTGACTTTAAGGGCTCATCCAGAAAGCGCGTTTGTTCCCAATTGACTATCTTAGCATTTTTCCCCACCATCCAGAAGACGCAGGTCTCAAACCGGTACCCACAGTGACACAAAGTCACAAAACCTCAGCTTTCCAGGCTTTTCAAAACCACCTCTAAGAGATGTTTTTGTTACTGTTCTTTTGTTTCAATCTTAGCACAAATCAACTTTTTTTAAAAAGGCCCCACAAAACAAGATCCAGTACAGAGAAGCATTTGTAAAGGATTTCTTCACATTTTCAGAAATATTTTTTTATTCTACTCCTAGGAAACATTGGAAGCTGCCTTATACTGAGTCAGACCGCTGTCCATCCACTCTGGCACCGTCAACACAGATTGGCTCTCCAGAGGTTTAAGATCAGAATTCTTTCCTAGCCCTACATGGAGGGCTCGCACCCGGGACCTTCTGAAGGCAAAGCACGGGCTCTGCCTTCTGGGCTGCGCTTCCCACTTCCCGATGTTAACGAAATGAAACAAGGCCTGTGCTTCTTTCCAAGGAAAAATGAAAAATTGAGAGTTAGACAATAGAACGTCTTGCGGATTTGAAACTTTACAAAGCGTCAGTGCAATATCAAGTGGAAAGGGCAAGCCCGAGGAGCTTCCAGATAACTCAAACAGGTGAGAGGGCAGCCAAGGTTCTGAATCAATTGTTCAGAACTTAAATCGCCATTCTGATCGCTGCTATTTCTGAGAGCTGCAGAAGAGCACACACTTATTCCTTGCCTTCATATGAGCTCAAGTGACAAGCAGGAGGGGTTGGGGGACAGTTTCCAAGAGTAAGAAAGGGAAGGGAGATGGCATCACAGGAAGTAAACTATTAAGTCTTTACTATATTTAGCTCCAGGGAGCAGCTCAATGAGCATCTAGGCAAACATGTCCAGCAAGACAGAAAGAACAAGAAAGAAAATGTTGCCGGTATAGGGAGCATTGAAAATGACGTAGAATACTTAAAATCAGTACAATCCGTTCCCCTAATCTATTCCCTAAAAATGCAAAGATCTTCGTTCAAGTAATTCCCAAACTCTTTGGTAAGAAAGGGTAATGAAAAAAATACAGTTTCTTTCTTACAGAAGAAAGAGAGATAAAATGGGTTTCAGTGTCTTCTTAAGATATTTCTTTGGGTCCTTCTTTGAGTGAGCTGAAAAATATTCTGAAGATGCATTGGACCATCCACCCAGCAATTCACCAATCTTGTACAGTGGGGTCTCTACTTAAGAACTTAATCCGTATTGGAAGGTGGTTCTCAAGTTGAAAAGTTCTTATGTTGAATCTGCATTTCCCATAGGAATGCATTGAAAACCATTTAATCCGTATCTGCTCTTTTCCGTCCATAGAAACTACAGTACAGGCCAGGTCTTTGTTTCCAAACAGTACCAGAAGTGGAAGCCATACTGAAAGAAAACTGGAATGGGCAGAGGAGAACATAAAGGAATGTGAAGGAACAAGTAGAAGGGATTGTTTGAGTCTGTTTGACCACAGCCTCCTGAGGAAGCCAAGCAAAAGCATCACTAAAATGAAAAAAAGATGGATTTTAAAAAGAAGTCCCCCTGAAAGGGAGTCTGGCAAATTACTGGTGAATTCCCAGAAGAGCAGCTGGAACAAATAAAGCATCCTCTGGAGCTGTCATTGCCTTCGCTGTAAACTTCACAGCGAAAGGCTTGGAGACTTCCAAGAAACTGACATTATGACAGGATTTTTCAGTGACAGGTACCAAGAAACCCTGCCAGGCGAAAAAAATCTGCAACCATTTGAAATGTATTTGTTGGCAATGGGGTCACAGTTAACAGAGCATCCAACAGTGCAATACCACCTATGTTTATTCGGGACTACTACCAAGAGATTTCAGCCGGACTCACCCTAGTAACTACAGACAGGACTGTCGCTCAAGCGAATTTGACTGAGTAATCGAGAGCAGAAATGCCAGAATTTTAAGAAGGGCATTAAAACTGTAACAAGCTGGTCTTGAAATTCACTTTTGCCCAAGTCATATCTTACCGGGGGAAAAAACTGCAGCCAATTAACACATTAAAATGAAGAAATTGCTGAGTGAAGGAGTGTGAGATGCCAAGTCAGCTTTTCCAGAGAGGCAGTTTTTCAAAAGATGTGGCTTTTAAGCTCATAAAGCTCTCTCCTTCTTACCCACTGCTCGGTTTAAACCCTGCCAACAGACATACTAGTAGATTATGAGAGCACTTTATCAGGTTTGCCATTTCTAAAGTTAGTGTTGCATAAAAGGTCTGCCCTTCATGAGAATAGCCAAAAGGAAAAGGAAAACAACATGGAATGAAGCAAATTTTAGATCTTGAAGGGGAATGTTCTTTAGTATCCAGAAATATGGTATCCAGTCATTTACCATTCACTTTGGATTGCAGTGCATATTAAACACCAGCTCTTTTCAAATCTAATAGATGAACTACTGTATTTTGAACTCTGCACAGTTAAGAACTGGGAATTAATAACCAACTTCAGCCCTCTATCTCAAAGCAACAAATAACATCCTGCAAAATAATAAATAATAATAGTGTGCTGTCAAGTAAGTTCTGATGTGGTTTTCAGGGTTTTCCAGCTAGAGAACAGTCAGAAGTGGTTTACTGTCCCTGTCATCTGGGGCCGCCATGGGACTGTGCAGCTTGCCCAAGGCTGGCTCTTCTCCCTGAAGGCACAGTGAGGAATTGACCGCCGCCCCCCCCCCCAAGCTTCTGGGTCTGCAGCCAAATTAAACCACTGATTGATTGGCTGTTGCAACACAGTTTTCCATTATTCATATTTTACAATAAGGAACTAGTCCAGTTCTACGTATCCTAAACTGATGGTGAACTACTGTACAGAACTGCAGCCGTCCCCCTGCTTCAAACTCATCCGGCTCCTCTCCTGCTGAAAGAGAGGGAATGGTTTAGTAGCTAAATGCAGAAGTGAGACCAACAGTTGAATGCCTCTTCCCATCTGATGTAACCCCAATATTTATAATCCTACCTCTAGCTAGCTGCATGGAAAATATGCAAAATATATTTAATTTCAGACCTCCTTCTGTGCGTATTCTTTCCTTCTTGTGGTTTAATCAAGATTTCTAAAAGTGATGTACATGTTGTGTTAAGGAACTAGTCAAGGAAACTAGTCAGTCTCTGGCAATGGGCCGCCCCACAAGTTGCCAAGTCAACTTCTATTCTGTGGGCTTGCATCTCCTGATCGTAGGCTGGTTCTTCTGTCTATAGTTTCAAACAAGTGAGAGCTGCAAAGAAAACCGGAAGAGTTCCCTCCCAAACTGCAGATGTGACCAATTTCTGCCCCAGACAAATCTGTAGCAAAGCGACTTGTAGGGTGAAGGCGTCATCATTTTTATTACCTTTCCTGAATTTTGCTCTTCGACTTGTGCATATTTGAAAAGGACTCTTTCTGTGGGGAAAATGACAACATTGGACTTGTTTTAAAAGGAGTTATCTTATATAGCCATGCTCAGAGTGCCATTTCGTTTGGATACCCTTATTTCTCATTTCCTCCAGACCAGCAAATTTTCCTTCTACCACAGCCCTGCTCTTCATAACTGGAATGTCCCATCTGCCATTCCCTCTCCTTTAAATAGACCCTCCAAAGTTGCTTTTTCTGCAAAGCTTTTGGGGGCCAAAGTAGCCTAGACTCGTCAGAGGTTGTTCCCCCCAATGTCCCATCTGCCATTCCCTCTCCTTTAAATAGACCCTCCAAAGTTGCATCTTCTGCAAAGCTTTTGGGGGCCAAAGTAGCCTCGACTCGTCAGAGGTTGTCCCCCCCCCCAATCTCTCCCTACTCTAGGTATGTATGTATTCCATTATATCCCAGTATGGGAACCCAACCAAGCCAAACAAAATATCACTTTCGGCACATCAAAGATATATAATTGTCTGTGATGCTGGGTATTATAGCATGCAGACCCCCCACTCCTTAAAAAGTCTTGACAGATTTGCCTTCAAGGAGCTGCACTTGGAAAATAATAATACTGTATTGTATCTCACCAGAATCCTCTCTGCCCGTTGTTTCCTCAATAAGGCTATTATTTCCTCCCTTCTCTTGGCCTACAAAGAAACACATTCGCAATAGTTAAATCCACCTAAACAAACTTGGAACTCTTCCACGGGGTCTAACTCAACCTGGCTGAGTTGCAAGATGGCCACGTGGAGCAACAGACGGTTGTCTCTAGACAATATTCCAGTTGGTTGTTGGTTTTTTGGGCTCTTTGGCCATGTTCTGAAGGTTGTTCTTCAGAACACCGCCGAAGAGCCTGAAAAACCCACAACAACCATTAGATCCCAGCCGTGAAAGCCTTCGTGGAAATATTCCAGTTCTACGTATCCTAAACCGATGGTGAACTATAGGACTGCAGCCGTCCCCCTGCTTCAAACTCACCCGGCTCCTCTCCTGCTGAAAGAGAGGGACTAATTTAGTAGCTAAATGCAGAAGTGAGATCAACAGTTAAATGCCTCTTCCCATCTGATGTAACCCCAACATTTATAATCCTACCCCAAGCTATCTGCAGGGAAAATATGCAACATATATTTAATTTCAGACATCCTTCTGTGCATATTCTTTCTTTTTTATGGTTTAATCAAGGTTTCAAAAAGTGATGTATATGTTGTGTTAAGTGCTTATCAGGTCAGAACAGACTTGTAATGGCCCTCATAGAGATGTCAAGGTAAGTAAGATATTTAAGGAAGAGTTTTACTAGCGCCACTGCTCATCCCGGAGTAAGTTCCCATGGCCAAGTGGGAATTAAAAACCCAGGCGTCCCGAGTGCTAGTCTGTCACTCTACTCTCACACAAGCAATGCACCACATAAATAAGAATTATAACAAATCTATTTCAGGTTTTGAAAAATTACAAAACGTTCTCCTCATAATGAGACAGAGAAATAGATTTAGCTAATCAATACATGGTGTAGCTCTGCAGAATAATTTCCTAGCTACAATTAACTAGACTCGTTGATGACTTAAAATATCCAGAACTGAACCATCTTGAGGTCACTTGTTACAATTCATCCCCCCCCAACATAAACAGTAAATAAATCCACTTCCTATTCATCCAGTTTCTACAATGTAGATCTAATGGATTCTAGTAGATGAAATCCATTATACTGTTATTAAATAAGTAGGAATGTTGGCTTGCAAAAATAAAATCTGCAAAGCGCAGCACTTTTCAGCTGCTTCTAAGGAGCGATTGCACTTGGCTTCCTTCCGCAGCTTGATATAGAAAGGTTTTAATTCTTAATGATGGGGGGCAACCCTGACATTTTTTATCTCAACATGCTGAAATACCATTTCGTTATTTGACAGCCACTTTTGCACAATAGTATAATATTAACCAGAAGCGAACTCATGCAGCTGCTGAGTCCTCTCGATCCACCTAATGGTAAATTTATGAGGTGGTCAGTCAGTCTACAAAAGTTGACGGGTTCCATTGTGAGCTTCAGGAGTCAATTAGGGAAGAGTCAACACAGTACACAAGACGGGTCGATTTCCTGTCATATCTGAGGCAGCATCATAAACCCTGTCTAGAACTGACACAACCATTGCTCTGGAAGGAGACAATAAAGTTTGCTCGCTGTTTTTTTCTTTGATTGACAGGGCCTAATCTATTAATTTACAGCCATGGTGTTTACCTATGTCCTACCTGCGGGCTGTCAAGATTTTTCCCAACTGCCACTACGGAGCTTTTTCCACCTCTCCAGTCCTGCTTCTCCCCTGTGAGCCAACCTGATGTGCTGTCATTTTCCTCTCTGTAATTCAGACATTGCTAGCCAGTACTGGGCTCCTTGGGTGAAATATATTTCTAGGTTTAAACAGCTGTCTGAGGAACAGCGAAGTGTTCCAGAATATATTAAATGTTCACATTTTCTTCCATAGGAATACTGCTGTAGCACAAATGTTCCGAGTGAGGCCATTTCATTCTTTTCAAATTTATGTTTCTAACCTAATGCACTGGTACGTCTTTTCCTCTCTCGGATTTATAAGGCAATTCATTTTCTTCTTATCACCATTCATTCGTTGGAAAAGATAATCAGACAGAGAGCTTTGCAGAGTGAAAAGTACACGTCAAAGCTTCAAACAATCTTGGCAAACCTCTTCTACAATATATAAATAGATACTTTTATGTACTGTACAAACACCTAAATTTCAACCACCCTCCAAATGGTTGCAATCTCAATGTAGCTACTATTGAAGAGATTATTTAAATCACAAAAAGCATTAATTCAGAAGAAAGGTAGTTCTATCATTAGGCAGAATGAGGCAGCCGTCTGAGGCACCTCGTTCTGACTGCATAAAAGGACAATATATTCTACGTTATTTAAATGACTATGATTTTTGACGGCATTTTATCAGCAAGGAAAGAGCACTTGTGAGATCTTTTGCTGCAAGGGCCAAAATAATGGGCCAAGAAGAGCTTGAGAAAGTTACTTTTTTAGGAACCAAGTTCCAGGATTCTGCTTGCCATCATGTGCTGGGGAATTCTAAAAGCGGTAGTCCCAAAGGGTCACTTAAATGTGTTTTAATATAGATTTTAGTTACCATTTTAATATAATACTTGATTAATTCTTTTTAAAATATGTGTATACTTTCTGTTTTTAGCTTTTAAATACTTTTTTAAGGACATATAATACTTGATTAATTCTTTTTAAAATGTGTGTATACTTTCTGTTTTTAGGGGTCCTTTTCAGGAGAACAGTGGGACAGAAATATTTTAAATATATAATTCTGAATAAATAATTTCCCAGAGCCTTAGATAAGCCTAGACTACGTATTTCTGTTTCCTTGGGTCCTTTTCAGGAGAAAAGTGGGACAGAAATATTTTAAATAAATAATTCTGAATAAATAATTTTCCAGAGCCTTAGATAAGCCTAGACTATGCATTTGCTGCTCAATCTCAGGTGACAAGCATATTTTGTGCCAGTCCCAATCCTGAGGCTCAGAGGGTCTATCTCACCTTCTTAAGGTACTGCTCTTTCACATCCTTGGGTCCTTTTCAGGAGAAAAGTGGGACAGAAATATTTTAAATAAATAATTCTGAATAAATAATTTTCCAGAGCCTTAGATAAGCCTAGACTATGCATTTGCTGCTCAATCTCAGGTGACAAGCATATTTTGTGCCAGTCCCAATCCTGAGGCTCAGAGGGTCTATCTCACCTTCTTAAGGTACTGCTCTTTCACATCCTTCTTTTCAGCTTCAGTAGCTCCCAGGCTTCTCTCGTCTTTACTTTCTAAGTCAAGCAACAGAAACACAGCTATGATTTTAATAATTCAGCATGCTTTGGACCAAGGGCAGAGCCACCATGTTAAGATATAATGAAGGCACTTAACAACATCAGAATAGTGAATGGGTAAAATACACACACACACAACTCCGAGAGGAAAGGTGGGAAAGAAGAAGAATGACACCCAGTGTATTTATGAAGGAAATGATCTGGCAGAGTGGTCTTCAACCTGCTTTCCATCATCTTCTGATTCATAAACTCACATGCTGAATACCTCTGTAGAAGGACAGGACAGAAGCAAGGCAGAGTGTACTCTTTCAGACAAAAAGTCATACACATCATGTGTGAAGGCTCTCCAGTGTAGAGGCTCCCTGCAAGGAGAAAACTAGTATAGTTTTCTTTTTGCAGAGAGCTTCTACACTGGAGAGCCTTCACACATGATGCGTACAACCTTTTGTCTGAAATAGTATTTTATTTATTTATTTGATTTGATTTGTATCCCGCCCATCTGGTCAGGTCGACCACTCTGGGCGACCTGACCAGATAGTATGTGTGTATGTGTATAGGGGTGGAGGTGGGGAAGCCATATGGTCCTTGCACACAAGAGAAGGAAACCACTAATATCACAAACAGAAGCAAGTTTCTGACTATGTTAGAATTTTCAAGCTTCTTCTGCCCCACTTCCATTGCTATAATGCCCATCTGCTGAAGAGCCGGGCAGGATCTGAAAGCTAGTCTATTTGTGGCATTTTAGTGGTCCAGTAAAAAGTACTGCCCACCCTTATCACTAGGATATCTCTGGAAATGTGACCCCCCCCCAGTGTTCATCTGCTCTATTTTATGCATTCCACCTCCTGAAGTGTGGTAGAATTCATAGCAAACAGCTAGCAGTCGTCCAGAAGAACCAAAATCCTTTTTATTGGAAAAAATGTGTATGCTGTGATTTGCCTTCAGATTCCTACTATAACTAAACCAGATACTTACTGTCAACTGAAGGCCGAGCAGAATGAGGTTCATTTTTCACTAAAAATGCAAAAGGCAGTATCAGTAAACTGAAAACTTGAGAAGATTAATACTTCCCCCTACCCCGGACTTGTCATGAAATCCTCATCCTTTCTCACGTTTATTATTATGAGCACCTCATTGTACAAGTCTCCTTGGATGTGAAAGCAGCCTTATTTTAAGCCTCCAAAATTTAGTTCTTACTATAATCCCACAAGGGATTCTGGCAGCCAGTTCTGAGCCAAAAATTAGAAAATACACCCAACTGCTTGTCAAGATTACTTGCCCGGAATGTGGTCGCCTGGGGACATTTTCTACTCACGCCAGGCAACCACAAAAGTCCACTGTGTGTGTGTGTAGGGGGAAATGCAAGTAGATCAATAGGGACCACCTCGGTGGGAAGGTAACAGCGTTCCGTGTCTACGTCGCACTGGCCATGTGACCACGGAAGATTGTCTTCGGACAAAAACGCTGGCTCTGTGGCTTGGAAACGGGGATGAGCACCGCCCCCTAGAGTCGAACACGACTGGACAAAAATTGTCAAGGGGAACCTTTACCTTTACCTTTTTATAATCCCACATTTAGCTCTGGCAGCCAATTCTGAGCCAAAAAATTGGAAAATACACCCAACTGCTTGTCAAGATTCCTTGCCCGGAATGTGGTCGCCTGGGGACATTTTTTACTCACGCCATGCAACCACAAAAGTCCGATGGGGAGGGAATGATACTTAGATGTGCGAATGTTAGAGACAGCTGCGGTTCGGAGAAAGGGACAAGTTTGGCTTTTTAAAAGGACCCCCTTGGCCCATGAACTGGACACAGATGGGGCTTTTGCCATGAGACAAACCTGTCCATTTGTTATCCGCAAGACAGGCCTCCCTCTGCGGGTCTACCTCGCAGGGCTGCCGCCACGGATCTCTACGAATCCTTCCGAATCTAGTTTGGCCAGATGCAAAAGAGGACCACGCTCCTGCGCCTTCGCACCGAGTGCAGAAGAAGGCATTTCGGGGTGGTGGTGGTGGTTGGCACCAGCTGAAAAGCTCCTTGTCCTCATCCATCCATGCCAGGTGTTTGTGTGGGGGGGCAGTCACCCCAGGGGAAATTCCTTGGGGAAATCAACTCCACGTTGGTCTCTCGACTCGGGTCCTTTTCCCAGCGACTCGGCCTCGAAGGGGGGCTCGTCCCTTTCTTCTGGGCCCCCCCGAAAAAGACTGGTTTTGAAGAGGGGCTCGGCCTCGGGATGTGGGGGGCCCAAGACCTGGCCTGCCCCCCCACGAGGCTGCCCCCCTTCCTTCCCTGGCACCACCTGC